TATATATATTTCATAGATATATCTTTACTTATGTGTGCATTTTATGCGATGCGTTCGGGCGATACCAAAACTAAGTATAAAAAAAGTTAAATTAATTGTATATTTTACATCAAGAATAAAATAATGGGTCTAATTTCAGATCACGGGCGGTCTCGTAATGAACCATAGATGTGTCGAGGGACACTTTTTACTTTTAAGAAAACCAATTTTTTTTTTTTTTATTGAGCGGTTTAAATAGGTCTTCAATAATGATATAATAATAAGGCTTGTTGTTCCCCGATTCGTTAAGTACGGTTAGAAAATATGTCCTATATCACTCTCCTTGATCCTTATTTATCTTCAACGAGATTCAATCATCGAATCATCGTCTCAACGATGGGCAACTGTTTCCTTATATTATAGTATTCGTCAGTGCGATATTATATTATTACACGCGAACGTCGAAGTGTTCACTCGACGAGCTGACGGACCGACAGCAACACGGGCGTAGAGCGGTCGATTGCGATGACGTTGTAACTGCCGCGGCGGTAGACAGAGTCGGCGGGCCACGCGACTATATCGTGGTGGGCCTGCTGTTCGACGGACGGCGATCGGGGGCGGTCGCCTGTAGCTGCACGCTCCGCGTTGGCCACAGTCCAAGCGTTCTTGGCGGGCCGGCGCCAACAGTCGACGACGGTCGACAGCGACGAACTGCCCGAACACGTCAGCGACGAGCTGATGGAACAGTCTGTGGTTCCATTGCCGCCGCATGTCACGGCYCCGGCGTTGGTGCCRCAGCCCGACCGCGACGGCGCGGGGTTCCGGTGCAGCACGCTCTTCTTGCACMGCAGCAGYGACCTGAAGGCGTTCCGGAAGTCCTTCAGGTGATACGCGTACAGCAGCGGATTGCCGGCGGAGTTGAGGTGAGACAGGACGATGCAGCCGTGCATGAAGGACGCGGGCACGGGACAGTCTTCGCAGAACGCCTGTACGCAGTTGATGGTGTACAGCGGCATCCAGCACACGGCGAAGAACGCGACGATTATTGACAGGTTCTGCGTGGCCTTCACCTCGCTTTTCCGGGCCGCGCCCAGCACACGCAGTTTCGTCGGACTGTTGCCGCCGCGTTGACCGCCATTCAACAGCGTCATTTGTTTGATCTGCGAAACGGTAAAACGAATTTGATTTGTTTTCTTTCTATATAATAGTATAGTATAACGTAGTCGCTTGCGGCACCAGCGATAACCAGACCGGGCACTTTTCCCCCTAGAATTTTAAATTTGTTTTCCAAAGCATTGTCTGTAACGCGCCAATTTAGTAAATATAGATTAGGTACTTTTAAATTGTAAACATTAAATGTATAAAAATAATCTTGGTTCATTTTTWAAATTAATTTACCCCCTCCCTTATACGCCCATGGCGTGCTGTATCACACTATCATGCATACTGTAATAATAATAACAATAATAATATGATACAGAGCGTTCCATAAAGCATTTCCCGGTTTCAGAACGATAAATTATTATGTTATACTGCACTTGTAAAATTGAGGAGCAAGTATATCAACCAACATTTTAGATCACCGAGTTTTACATTTTTTTTATCTCAAAAATGTTTGAATTATTTCAACACCTCTTCCCCCGCCTACGGTATTGAGGTCACAATAACGCGTGAAACGATACAACACCAAACTCATTCCCAAACCATGGCTAACACGCAACAGGTACACAATTGATCGACGGGCTCTTATGGATTCTTTTTCTCCGTTATTGAAGACAGTATTGTAGCCATCGGTGGAAATACTATATATAAAGACTCATTTTAAGGTTCATCCGACAAAAATTTTACTCACTGTTAATCACGCTACAATCAAAACTAATGGAGGTATGATTTTTTGAAACCAGGAAATTCTTTATGGAATATCACCCTGTATGTTAAATTTGCTTGACCAGTCTTGTGAAAAATTGCTCTTAACACGTTTACACCTTTAAGTCGCAGAAATATATCAGATTTTCTTTAAACAACCTCGTGTCACGGATCCTATACGTATAGAATTGGCAAAGTGTGTAATATTATTAATATTCATAATCGTATAATAGTTCCTATAATACAATAAATACATAATAGTTATACTTTGACAGATAGCCAGTAGATATTATGTTTCAGTGATTTATTCTAACATTTTTCTCGAAATCGACTAGATTGACTAATTCTTTTCGGTATGCAAAAACAGTAGATTGAGTTGTTTAGTGTTTAAAATTACGACTTTAAAATTTAAATTGATATAATTTATGGATTAATTCACTGTGGAAGAATCCTATGTATATTTTCCCATACTAAAAAAGTAAAGTAAAATTGATATCCGGTATTTAAAAACCAAACCTAGCTTTAAGATGTTGATACGTGTCGATTGTGACTTAAGTCTGAAAATCTAGAATCTATACAAACCTACTCTGCAATATACCCGAAAAACATGCTTATTAACATAATGTACGAAAAAATTCTCACATTTTGATTCTACTCGGCAGTTTGTTTCAAAACTAATGATACAAACAGTAACCAACAAATAAATACTTATTACAATTCTGAAGAAATTGAATTGGAATATATAAAATAACCCTATTTAATCGTGTATATATGTATATATCTTACTGTTCGAATTTGTTATTGTCCAATATATATAAATATATATATTAGAAGTTATAAAGTATGATCATAATTGATAATTTATGATACGATTCTTTATTTTCAATCAAATTATAACATAGTTTGGTTATTAATTTTGATAATGCATTTTATAGGATAGACAAGTTGACGATTTTATATCAGCTGTAAATACTATTAAATGTGCATTATAAATATATATATTTGCATCGAGTACATTACATTTTTAATACTTACTTGTTTTATTATGACTGTATAAATATGAGCATAGGAGGTGGCCATAAACAACGCGGGTAAAATAATAGTCGCTAAGTATAAAAACACCAAGTAGTTATAATCCATCACGCTACTGAACTCGCATGCGTCCAACGTTGGACCTTTGGCGGCTCTCCAGCCCATTAGTGGCAAAAAACCTATCACCAGACCCATTATCCAGCAGATACATATTATGCCTATAAAACAAACATAAAATTAAAAATACATAAAGACAGTTTTGATGGGGAATTATCGACTCCATCAAAATACTTTATATTATTATCACACCGAGTTCACTTATATTTTACCGTTGATTCTTTCATTAAAATAATTAGTTTATAACAATAGTCACAATGTTGAATCTGTCAGTGTTTATAATATTGTGTGATTAATATAATGAATAATTTATTTAATCGTCTGTACTTTATAGAATAATTTGGGCGAACATTATAGAAAATAAGGAAATATTTATACATGTAATAATATACTAGTTTTGTTGTATTTCATAGATGTACAGCAAAAAATTGGATGTATAATTTACAAAATATTTATTGTTTTTTTTTTTTGATATTTATAGGCGTTTAAATTTTTTTCTATGTTTACTTCTGACGATTTGATTGTATGTAAATATGATAAAAAATTAAATATAAGGTTATTTATAAGTAGTTCTTGTAGCAATTAAAAAATACCAATTTTAAAAGTTCTAATTTTTTTTATTAGTCTTTATAAAATCAACATTTTATGAAAAGTTGTCCAAACCACAAAAATTACTCATTATTTTCAACTTTTTTCCTAGTTAAAACAATTATTATTAAAATCCTTAAAAATTTAACACAGTCAGATTACTCATAAATTTTTAAAACAATTTTTTTTTTAATTTCCGAATGAATTAGTTTGTGAATATTTTATTATTTCATAATATTCTATAAAAAAAATATAAATGTGCATATGAATAATAATATTCATAGTGATAGACCAACTTATTATGTTGGTTAATTACATTKGATTGAGGAACTTCCTGTCGATGGATATCAATACATAAAAAACAATTTTAGTGTTATAGTATAGTTTATAAAAATATGAATTCTATTTTTACATAATTTAATATTATATTATTTTATCAGTAGAAACTGTTTTTGTCATAACTTTACCAGATAATAATTGTTCATTTGTCCTTTATTGTGAATACTTACGTTTTTATTAAATAATATGTATAAATATAGATAATAGGTATATAATTTATTATTTAAAATTTAATATTAATAATTTAATATATTTATATAAATTGTATTGATATAATATCCGATTGATAAAAATGCTTTATATTTTTTTTTAAACTAATTAAATAAAGTTTAAACTAACTGTCAAAGTGTAATATAATAAGATAAAATATAAAACAAGAGATTAATTGGTATTATACGTATGATATATTGTGCATATATACACAGTATAATTATAAAAGTAATTTGATTTGATAATATATATAGGTAATAGGTATTACAAATACTCATTCCTTTTAGTTTCAAATCTTAATTCATAACTTTTCATCGTTTATGCGACATAGGTATTAGGTAGTAGGTATAGACTATAAAGCATGGGAGTCGGGACAGCAAACATACAATTTATATTATAAAAGTTTAAACACCTGTAAGTAGTAGTAATTACTTATTAATTAATGCAGCAATCGCGCCACACTTGTATTATTATTATTATTACCATAGGTAGTTATACATATTATGATTTAATAACTAATTAATAATCACTAAAATCTGATCAGTTATGTACAATGTACATTGTCAATATACTAATGCCGTTTCTCAATTATTACTACTTAATAATAAAAATATCACTAAGAAGAATAACTATCAACGAACACTTTTATTGTTACAATAATATTTATGTATGTGTATCATAATTTATTAAATTCAAACATAGATACCTAACTACTGAATTTTTATACTTGAAATTGTATACAAAATAATGAAAGAAACATTTGATTATTATGTTAAGAACTTAATTTGTTAATCGTGCATTTACTATTTACCTAGTGCCTATTATAATAATATTATACAGATGGTTCAAGCTATATAAGCTGGCGGTGGTAATTGGATGRGTGAAATAATTTTGAGCAAAAAAATAGCAGTTTGTTTTAACAACTACCAACATTATCATACCGTTTGGAGGAGTGATAATATACACTTTTATGATGTGCGTTTCGTTTTATCAATTTTTGACTTAACATTGAGAGTACAATTTCACAATATTAGTTTTCAAATGTCTTTTTAAGTTATAGTTGTGTATTATATAAATATGTAAACTATAAGTGATTTTATATTATTATTCATTTTTTTTATTTTATTATAATCCTTTTTATAAATATCGGCATTACCTTTTATCAATATTAAAAAAAAACATATTTTAAAATAAAAATTAACCATGTTAAATTGTATAAGCATTTTTATATTATACAATAAGTAAATAGTATAAGTTAATTAATATAATCTCCATTACAATACTTACGTTATATATCAGTGATATCCTTGTTCCAWATTTTAAGTAAGATATAATTAGGTATATCAATCGTACCAAAATATGTTCAATACTCCAATCACGTTTCAATAGCTATTCTTTAAATATTTCGTGACAATAGATATTAAATTCTTAGTAAATTATTATTAGTATGCAAAATTTGTAAGACAGTAATAATTAATACGCGTAACAATCGTAACATAATATATTAGCAAATGTCAGTATAAATGTCGCGAAACAGTCGAACGTGATTGTGTGGCGCCTACAAATACGTTATAATATAATCTATAGGACCTTATAATGGCATGGTCAGATTTTGCAGTACTGTATAATATATTTTAGATGTAAGATAATTAGTGTTGTATTAACGTGTAAATTTGAAATTTATATTCATAGCACACGTGTTAGTGTCTCTTTTTAATGAGACTTGTAATATTTTATGACATTATATTTCATCGTTGCGAAAATATATTAAGTACAGGTAACACTTTTATCCTAAGGTTATTTTAATTTTTACTAATGTATTTAAATATCAATAATATGTCACCTAATCACTTATAAATCRAGATTTCAGAGTGTTAATTAGTAAATCGTTTAACAAATCTGAAAATTTTAAACTTTAGTGGCACCGATTCCTGAATGTACCTATACATTTATGAATATTATATATTATATATTATAACTATACATACATAAAAGTTACCAGTAGGTATTGAATTTCGTTCATGTATTTATTTCTTAAAGTAGAATGAAATATTATTTTCATCTTAAACTGTTATTCACAGTACATATAGGTTTCAATTTGATTTCATGAAATAATGTAATAATAGCACAGTCTGTCAAAAATTATTTAGAGTATCTAGTACCCGATATCTAGGTTTAACGTTTGACAATCACCTTAGATGGAATCTTCATGTGAATAATATAGTCATGCGTCTACGAAGTTTAAATTACAGTTTTTATAAGTTACGTAAAATTATATCTGTTCATGTCATGCGAACTGTATACTTAGCTCTATATCAAGCAATATTTCAGTATGGACTGTTAATCTGGGGAGGGCTCTCG